CAACATTCAGGATTTTTATACTTTAAGGCTAAGTGGCTATTTTTCTTCTCTACCCAAGAAAAACTCATTTCCAGCTGCTTTGCTACCAAATTCCTTCCTCATTGCCATAAATGACAGATTCCACTTCCAGTTATATTTTAAAACATGGAAATTCTTAGATGTGAGTTCCACAAGACCCCTCAAAAAAGTGGGGTGTTGGGAAACACCAGCCTAAGTGATCTGCTTGATGTGTATGTGTCTTTAAGAATCCATTGTATCTGAACTCTAATGGCCCAATTCAGTGCTGTTAATACTGGAACCATAAAAGTGTAGTTCAGTTCCAGAAATATGGAAAAATATTTTAGTTTCTAAAGCATTTTAAGGGGAACTGTACACTTAAAACACGCAAGTTCATAGTGCTTGTCTTTTGAGATATACTCATTATCTATACAGACTTTGTACAGCTGGATGAAACCCTTAATATCAAAATGACATCCGGGCATCTATAGCCATGCTGTATCCAAGAGACTCTTTCTGTGGTCTACTAAAAGCTTACAATGAAGCCAAGACCATTTTGGATAATAAAAATGTATTATTCAGACATAAAAGCAAATCTGAAAAAGAATGCCCCAGACTATCAATGTAAATTGCTGCCAAGAAAGCCTGATTTCTAGAGAAACAGGGGTTTATCAAACAGTTTTAACATTTCAGAGCATATTTCCAGCTGCCTGTACAAAGCCCCACTGTGTGCCTCTGTGTGTATGTATACATGTAGATAAAGATACAGATGTAGATATACGTATACATATATAGATCTATCATCGTAGGTCTCCATGTAGCTTCAGAGGACTAGGCGTTGTACAGATGATAAATAAAAACAAACACTTGAAAAGAGTTATACAGCACAATGTAGACAAATATCATCTCTCGCTTCTAAGAGTTAATACTCAATGCCTAAAATAAAATCATTACAAGGACCCACCTGAGGCAGCCACCAGGATGAAGGGCCACAGAGGAGCTATTGCACCTGCCGTTGTTCCCAGGCACATCCCAGAGAAGAAACGTAAACTTGCCTACGGGACGGAATACCACTCAATTTTTCCCAAAGGGGCCTCTCTTCACTCCGTTCTTTGCTGTTTGCCAGTTTATGCTGTCCTCGCCGGTGCTATTTTGTAAACATTGAACAGGACCAAAGGCGACGCCAGCACCACACAATGTTTCAGAATTGATGCCACAGCAATACCCCTTAACTTCTCCATTTGGTTCTGCCCCAGCATCAGATCGTGGCCAACATTTCAATTTCCCTGACAAGAGATAGCTAAGTGAAAAATGTAATCTAAGAGGAGCCCCTAAGGAGGGGACATTCCACACTAATATGGTTTCCTTTACAGCCTTTACCTAAGGCGATGATCTTGCTGACATTCAGGACACTAATTTCATTAATAATTGAGACCTAAATAGCTGTTCTAAACCAGACTTATGCAGGAGCATCTTCAGCATTTGACAATGGCTATTGGACTCTTGAATCACACAAAGCTAATGGAACCCTGTTATTGTCTAACCAAGAACAGCTGCTAACAATACAGTGGGGAAAGTGCACTCTGTCTTTCCTGAGCTCCTTTAATTAAAAGAAAAGTTGGTGTTTGATAAATGGGTGCTTCTTAAATTGTCACTGAGTATACAATCCAGAAAGTAAACCATGTATGAGAGGATCCTTCTAGGCTGATTGAAGATGAGGGCTACGAAAGCTGGACATCATGTGATAAATTTTTTCTTACATCTTTTCACTGAGCACCCATACTCTTCATTATGAAGGAAAAAGAGACCTAATTCCATATGATTCTATCTGCCACTGGTAGACCCCTAGATGCTCTAGAAACAAAAACTGAATTTCATACCATTTCCAACATCTATCTGCTTTTTAATACGAGTGGGATTGTAGAGGCATAGGATTGAGATGAGTTTCACAGAGCAAACCGAGGGGAGAAATACATACCTGATCCCTGTTCTGCTAATTTATCTAGTCCCTTTGTTTACAATCTATGAAGCTGTCTCCTTAATTTTCATCTACCAATAAAACGTAGCCTGACTGACTTCCTACTATTGGTGACAGGAGTTACAAATATGGAAAGGGAGGAAACTAGGATGAACCCTGAGGCATTGAGTTGGTTTTGGAGGCATCAGTGTGAATTTGTGGTTTTCAATACATGTGGCTACATATAAAAATAAACACAGATGTCAATGTGTGTGTACAGATGTTAATACATACTTGTATCCCAAGCTCTGTCCACTGGTGAGTCTGGGAGCCAAGACACCCCAGTAGCAATGAGTATACCCGACACCCAGATCTTAGTTTCTAAATAACACACTTACCTAAAAGGAAGACATGGAGCTGAACAGGGGATGTGTGAGAAGACCCAAGAACATCTTGTTGCGTCACAAAGTGAAGAAGTGCTAAAAGAATGACAAGGAGGGGCACCTGGATGGCTCAGTCAGTTGAGCATCCGTCTTGGGCTCAGGTCATGATCTCGTGGTTTGTGGGTTCGAGCCCCGTGTCGGGCTCTGTGCTGACAGCTCAGAGCCTGGAGCTGTTTCAGATTCTGCGTCTCCCTCTCTCGCTCAAAAATAAACATTAAAAAATAATTAAAAAATAAAAGAATGATAGAGACATGTTAAAAGGGCATAGTTAGTTGAAGGATCTCCCAAAATAAAATACAAATCCACAGGGTGCTTGAGAGGCTCAGTCAGTTAAGCGTCTGACTTCAGCTCAGGTCATGATCTTGTGATCGGCAGGTTTGAGCCCGTCAGGCTCTGTGCTGACAGCTCGGAGCCTGGAGCCTGCTTCAGATTCTTTGTCTCCCTCTCTCTCTGCCCCTCCCCCGCTCATTCTCTCTCTCTCTCTCTCTCTCTCTCTCTCTCTCTCTCTCTCAAAAATAAACATTAAAAAATTAAAAAAAAAATGAATCCACAAGTCCATGCTGACTTAAATGAATGAAATGAAGACTTTTCCTTAAGTTAGAATGCCAACTAACACATGTAGAAGGAATGTCAGAATCTTCATAGTCATAATTCACTCAAAAAACATCAGTGGCTGATAAAACCTAGCTGGCGAAAGTTTGATGAAAAACAGGACACTTACACAACATACTTATTAATCAGAATGAGTAAAAAACAAAAACAAAAACAAAAAACTTTCTGTGGAGAAATCTGGCAGACAACACGTTAATCAAATGATGAAAATTAACGTTACCAATCACAGGAGTTGTGTGCCATGAGATAGGAGGGACTGAGAAGACACAGCTGCACTTCTGTGATCATCCTGCCAAAAATTCAAAACTTGGATCTATCTGGAAGGAGACACCAGATAACCCCATACTGTGGGACACTCTACAAAACAGCTTATAATCTTCAAAAGTGTCAAGGTTAGGGAAGCTGAGGAAAGACGGAGCCCCATAAAGCCGATTAAGGAGACATGACAACTCGGTGCAATGTGTGACTCTGGATTGGATCCTTTTGTTACAAAGAACATCTTGGGGAGACTTCGCAAAACCCAAGGTGGGGGCCTAGAGACTCCCGATTTTGATGGAATTGAGATCATGTAATGTTCTTGTTCGTAAGAATCACATTCTAAGCACTCACAGGCGACAGAGCATCATGTTGGCAAACTACTCTCAAACGGTTGGGGGCGGGATTCATTTTACTATTCTCCCAGTCTTGCTGTGTATTTGAAAATATTTCAGAAAAAAAAAAAAAAGAAATGTAACCTGGTAGTAAAAATTTGATACAAACTTATGGAAAGTTTAGAAACATCCTTGAAAGAGGATGGCCAGATAAATGGGGCTTTATCAAGAGATCCGATCACCAAAGACTGATCTGGCCACCAAAGTCCCAGAACTTTCCATGAGGAGAAAAGCAAGCTGCAGACAGACACATCTATGTACCTGGCACTTTTTATGGGAAGGCGACACAGAAGCTTCCCTTTATGCAAAGGTTTAATCGCGATGATGATCGGCATTACATTCTTGCCACACATTTTATTTTAGCAAGCCATGGTAAGTCAGACCTTCTGGGATATGCTTTCCCCTCCCTTTTCTTCTGACTTCCTCATGTACCCATCTGTTACTGGAAGGCCACTGCTAATGATGTGTAATACAGGTACATTACAACCTTCATTAGCTAATTTAACAACAGTCTGGTGATCCTGCCCATTACAGCTCTTTATTGGCTGATGAATTCTGCCAAGATGGGAACGGTTTTGTGTGACTGACTTGTTTTCAAAATAGTTTGTACACAGACGCTTCCCCATCTTTCCTTGATCGCCTTGCTCTGTATCACCAAATGGCTCAGATATTTGTTTTTCCAATCTTACTGTCCTGTCTGGATTTAGTTTGTTTACTTGGTGCCTTTAGATTTGGTATCTCTTCCCTGTTCTTTTTTTTTTTTTCATGAAAATTTAATTTTTCATGAAATTTTTCAGGAAAATGGTCTCTTCTCACTCATTAATACAGTACTTTTTATCCATTACTCAAAGATCTCACCACACCCCTCTAAGCTATTTAGGAAGGATGAATGTGAGGTGAACCCCGTTCAGGCCTTTCAAGCAGATCAGTGTATTAAAACGAAAAAAATGGAATTGTCAGAAGCTAAGCATTCAGCCTTCTTAAAATATCAGCTAAGAAAAAGACTTAGTAATCTGAGGTTTGAATCTGTTGTTTCTTGAATGCAGTCTAGGGTCAGGCCTGTCACTAAGAGGCTACCTAGAGATGTATTTCTCTCAGAAGTCCCATCGCCACATTCCCAGGAGCCCTTGCACTTTGTCTCTCCACTATTTCCAAGTAAGATACAACACCTCTTAGCTGGACCAGTGTCTTTTGGAAGGAGGAGGGGGAGAGGTTTTATTATGCAAACATAATAAGAAGTGTTTATTATGCAAACAGCAACTGAGTTATGTGTCCTTTAAGACTACTAAATAGTTTTTAATTACTGCTATATCAGTAAATCCCATAAATATGCAAATGCAATTAGTTCACAAAACAGACCTTAAATATCTTTATTCCTCTCCAACAAAATTCTTTGAAGTTAATCACTAACTCTCTTTGTTCACTCTCTTGGCAGTTGTGCTAACATTGACAGGAATTTTGACAGATGTACATATTCAGGGGAAACCACATTTTCTGAGCACATCTGGTCAGGCTGGAGCAGAAAAGTAGAAATGGACACTCTAGCCGAAATCAAATATTTAATGAGTACAGTCCCATGTGAAACTTCTTTTACTCTATAGCATTATCCTCTGAAATAAATATCAAGGTAACCACTGGGACACCACTTCAAGTACAAAGCCGCACTCAACATTTGATTTTCTTCTGGCTCAGAATTTCATTTTTAATAACGACGCACATTTTCTCCTGGTCCTTAAAAATGAATGAATGAATAAATGAACGAATGAACGAACGAACGGACGAAGGAACAGAGGAATAGTATCCCCCATGACCCTGGCCCTTCCTGGCTATGTGACATGGTTTTCTATGGGAAGTCATGGAACACAGGAGTAAGTTTCCCAGGCTTTGGAATCTGACACATCTCAGTTGCCCTCCCAGCCCCATCACTTGCTAGATGCTCATGGCCGTGGTCAAATTGCTTACTGTTTTTAAGCTTCAGTTTTCACATCTGTAAAAAGGGTATAATAGGCTCTGTTTAGTTTTCTATGGCAACAAAACAAATCCCTACACACTTAGCAGCTTAAAACCAAACTCGTTTGTGAGCTCATGGTTCTGTAAGTCAGAAACCCAGGTACAGCTTGAATGGGTTCTCTGCTCAGGGCCTTAGAGGGGGAAGTCATGGTGGTATACTAGAAATGGCTCTTACTGCATCAAAAGGGCCAACTGTGTACATCCCTTCCCAACTCTGTTCAGTGACATCAGGTTAGTAGCTTGAGAGCAGCCATGATGGGAATGTCTGCCACACAGACGTTGGACATCGGCAAACACTACCAGTCAGCGCTCCTCCCACCAGCTGGCTACCAAACACCTGCTAGTGTGCTATGGCCCACTCCCTTGAACTTCCAGGGTCTCACAGATACCTCCTACATTATGGCATTTATGCAAGTATTATTGTGACCTTCCTGTCTCTTCCAGAATCCTGTGGATTCTTTGAAGGTAGAGCACTGTACCTAATTCATCTTTGTTTCTCCAGCACAGAGCTTGGCACCTAGTGAGTACTCATTAAATACATAAGGAGGATGGAACAAAGAGAGGGAGGGAAGAATTAACAGACGGGCAGAAAAGAAGTTTGGTTTACGCAAGAAAGAGGACACACCAAAAGGGATGAGGTTTTTCACAACCATACCCAATATGCTGTCCTTCCTCCACCATCTCAGAAAGGATGGGCGGGAACGATGACTCGGGTTCAGAGCAAGATCGCTTTTGGCGGGTTTGGTCCAGAGCCAGCCAGCAAGCCATGCAAAGGATACACACTGGATCCAGACACGGGGAGTTCATGCCTCTTTGATTCTCTCAGAGGGTGCTAAAATTCAGGGGTCTCACAGTCACCTGGAGAGAGATGTCCGTCCCCCAGCCCCCCCCAAAAAAAACTAGAGGAACATGGGATCACATGGTTTGCTGCTTCTTGTCATGCCTCTGAGGACATCGGTTCCAGGACGCTGCTTCAACTGCCATGTAAGGCAGGTGGTCTTAGTAATCTGCATCGTCCAGGCCTTCTGCACACATTATGGGCCTTGAAGTCTTGCTGTGCCAGCTCTGGGCATCTCTGGATCTGTGGCGCACTGCAGGACCCAGGGCTTCTCCCTTTAGGCCCATTTAGAACTTTTCTGTGGAGAGACCACGGTCAACCACAGCAGCCAGTAAGATATTCTGGTTCGGGTCTAAATTTCTGGATATTTCCAACTCTGCTGCGGACTCAAGATGGGGCAAGGGCTTTGACCTGCTGGAGCCTGTTTTATTTATCCAGCCATCCATGTGCTCACTATGTGGGAGTTGTGGTGGACACTGGGGAATATAAAGAAAGTTCAAGGAACTTGGAATAGAGGTGATAGATAAGAAACACTGAGCACACAATGAGATAAACACTAGCTAGCTGGTAAGTGAACTCGGGACAATGGAAGCAAAAAGAGGAGCCAGACTTGGGGTGGGGTGAGAAGAGGGGTTTCACAAATAGCATTTGTGTTGGGAAAAGGCGAGGGCAGGAAGAGTGGAACTCCCAGCAGAAGGAATAAGGTAGGAAAAGGCCGAATGGTATCTTCCCTGGGACTGCAAGCCTCCTTTTGTAAAACTGGGGAGCAGACAGAACACAGGTTTCTACCTGAACCATCCTAATTGCCCAAAGAAAGGCCAGTCGCTTTAAACATAAACACATGAAATGAAGTAAAAGAAAAGAAAATTAGGGAGCAGATAATTCTAGACTCACAAGATGAGCGGATTAACACATTCATGTTGCAAAGTGTTGAGGGAGGAATAAAACAGAAAAGGGAAATATTGTATAAGTCTGTATAAGTGCCGTTATTATAAAGCTATCTCTAAATGGTCTGTGGCAATTATTCTAAAATGCACAACAGCTGTATTTGTCCCCTTTCTGCCACTGCTGAAATTTACACTGTCATTGCTCCAGGAGGATGGCTTGGCACTAATAACAGGCTGGCTGACTATGGCTGGAGTGTGACAGACCTCTAGTTAGAGCCCTTAAAGAGGAGAGAGGAGTGGGAAAATGAAAAGCACAGTGGAAGCCAAAGTAGATGTAGTCAGAGCACCGCCTTGTGGCAGCCACTGCACCTGCAGCTCCAGGGAACATCCATCCAACCTATTGTCCGTCGTACTTTACTGTTCACGTTTCCACAGCTTGAAAGTCATGCCATGCCTCTATTCATGCCTCTTGTCTTCTTTGCTCTAAACATTCCTCTCCAGGTTCCCCAACACCAATTCATCTAATCTATTTCTACTTTGCTTGCAACTGTCAACAAATTCCTCTTTGCTTACTTCCTTACTCTTCCTTCTCCAAACTCTTGGTCCCAGGAGCACCCAAGTTTCCCAGTGATTCAGTGATGTTTGAAGAGGTAGTTTCTCTTTCTCCCTAAGAGTGGAAATAAAGAAAGCCTTGGCTCTGAATATAACTTCTGAAATGTTATAAAAAGTATTATTAAAAACCATATAAGGGCGTCTGGGTGGCTCTGTTAGTTGAGCGTCCGACTTCAGCTCAGGTCATGATCTCACGGTTTGTGGGTTCGAGCCCCATGTCGGGCTCTGTGCTGACAGCTCAGAGCCTGGAGCCTGCTTCCAATTCTGTGTCTCCCTCTCTCTGTCTCTGCCCCTCCCCCATGCATTCTCTCTCTCTCTCTCTCTCTCTTTCTCTCCCCCTCCCTCCCTCAAAAATAAACATTAAAAAAATAAGAGATGAATTTAAAAATTTTTTTAGTGTTTATTTATTTTTTGAGAGAAAGTGACAGAGTGTGAATGGGGGAGGGGCAGAGAGAGAGGGAGACACAGAATCTGCAGCAGGCTCCAGGCTCTGAGCTGTCAGCAAAGAGCCTGATGCAGGACTCGAACCCATGAACCCTGAGATCATGACCTGAGCCAAAGTTGGATGCTCAACCAACTGAACGACCTAGGAGCCCCAAAACCAATAAAGAATTTCAATGTTATAAAGGTCTACCTTTTCTAGAATGTCATATAGTTAGAATCATACAGTATGTAGCCATTTCAGAATCAGACTTGTAAATACAGAGAACTGATGGTTGCCAGATGGGTGGGTTTGGGGGTCGGGCAAAATAGGTGAAGAGGAGTGGGAGATACAGGCTTCCAGTTATGGAGTGAATAAGCCACCAGAATAAAAGGCACAGCATAAGGAACATAGTCAATGGTATTGTAATAGCAATGTATCAGGATGTATCAGGACAGACCAGTAGCCACACTTGTGAACACAGCATAACATATAAACTTTTTGTATCACTATGTTGTACATATGAAACTAATGTAACATTGTGTGTCTATTATACTTAAATAAAACAAAATAAAACTATGCATTTTCTCTAAGCACTAGGTTAGGGGCATTACACAAATTTTGATATATTGTATATTCATTACTTTTCTGTCTTAAATATTTTCTAACCTCGTGATTTTTCTTGCCCCACAGATTATTTAGAAGTAAGTTGTTTATTTTAAAATTTGGGATGTCTTTCTAGATATTGTATGATCTTCCTCGACTTATGATGAGGTTACATCCCCATGAACCCATCATAAGCCGAAAATATCATCAAGCAGAAAATGCATTTAATACACCTAACTTACCAAACAAAATAGCTTAGCCTACCTGACCTTAGCTGGGCTCACAACACTTACATTAGCCTACAGTGGGAGAAATTCATCTAGCGCAAAGCCTATTTTATAATAAAGTTTAATCTCTCATATAATTTACTCAATACTATACTGAAAGTGAAAACCCGAAACCAGAATGGTTGCATGGGTATAGAATGGTTGTAGGTGGATCAATCGTCGACCCTGGCGACCACGTGGCTGACTGGGCACGGTGGCACAAAGCTGCTGCCCAGTGTCACAACAGAGAACCATACTGTACAGCAACAGCTCAGGAAAAGATCAAAATTCAAAATTCATAGTGGTTTCTAATGAATGTGTATCACTTTTGCACCATTGTGAGGTTGAAAAATTGTAAGTGGGATCTTCAAAAGTTGGGGACCATCTGTACTGTTCTTGACTTGCAATTTAATTTTGTTGTGGTAAAAGAACATATTTGATGATTTCAATAATCTTATTTTGATTGAGAGCTGTTTTGTGGGTTAGCATATGATTTGTTGTAAAAGCACCATGTGTACTGAAAGGAAGGTGCAGTCTGACATCATTGGATGTAACATTCCATGAATAACAATTAGATCAAGGTGGTAGATAGTGTTGTTTGGGTTATATTTTTGCGGTTCTTTTCTGTCTCTTGTTGTACCACTTCCTGTGGGGTGTTAAAACCTCCTACTACCATTGTGGAATTGTCCATTTCTTCTTTTTATTCTTTCAATTTTTGCTTCATGCATTTTAGGAGCTCTGTTATTAGCCACATACACATTGACCCACATTTATGAATATCACGTCTTCTTGATGAATCCATGTATCCATCATTATAAAATGGCCCTGTTTCTGATAATACTCTTTGCCACAGGTCTGTTTTGTCTGATATTAATAACCACTGTGGCCTTTCCATGCTTATTTACATGCTTTAACAGGATACCACAGACTGGTTGGCTTAAAAATAACAGGAACTTATTTCTCACCATTCTCGGGGCTGGAAGTCTAAGGTCAGGGTGTAAGCATGATCAAGTTCTGGTGAGGGACCTCTTCAGGGTTGCAGGTTGCTGGCTTCTTGTATCCTCATATAATGGAAAGGGGACTAGAGAACTCTCTGGGGCCATAATATATAATAAGGGCATTAATTTCATCATGAGGGCTCCACCTTCATGACCTAATCACCCCCCAGAAGGCCTCACTTCCTAATTGGGGGTTAAGATTTCAATATATGAATGGGGGGGGGGTGGAAACAAACATTCAGTCCATGGCACATGGTATGTCTTCTCTTTCCATCTATTTGCTTTCAGCCTACATGTGTGTTTATATTTAAAGCATATCTCTTACATGTAGCATATTTGGGTCTTCTTTTTCATTTCATTTTGTTAATTTCTGCCTTTTAATTGGAATATTTGATCCACTAATATTTAATGTAGTTTTTGATACGTCTGGATTTAAGTTACCCATTTTATTATTTGTATTTTATATTCTTTTTTAAAAAAAACTCCTCCGGGGCGCCTGGGTGGCTCAGTCGGTTAAGTGGCCGACGTCGGCTCAGGTCATGATCTTGCAGTCCGGGAGTTCGAGCCCCACGTTGGGCTCTGTGCTGACAGCTCAGAGCCTGGAGCCTGTTTCAGATTCTGTGTCTCCCTCTCTCTGACCCTCCCCTGTTCATGCTCTGTCTCTCCCTGTCTCAAAAATAAATAAAACATTAAAAAAAAAATTTAAAAAAAAAAATAAATAAATAATTAAAAAACTCCTCCTTTTCTGCCTACTTTTGGATTTTAACTTTTTAAAAATTTTAAATGTTTATTTATTCTTTAAATAGGGAGAGAGAGAGAGAGAGAGAGAGACAGAGCACGAGCGAGGGAGAGCAGAATGGGCGACAAAGAATGTGAAGCAGGCTCCAGGCTCCAAGCTGTCAGCACAGAACCTGACACAGGTCTCAAACTCACAAACCACGAGATCATGACCTGAGCTGAAGTTGGATGCTTAACCGAATAGGTCACCCAGGCACCCCTGGATTTTTTTGGTTTTTAATAAAGATTACCTATTGGCTTTTTAGCTATACTCTTTGCACAACTCTTTTTAGTGGTTATACTAGAAATTAAAATAAACGTTGTTCACACAGTCTACTTTTCAAGTTACTACAGCACTTTCCCATCAAATGTAGTTACCATGCAATCATTTGGTTCCATTTACTGGCCCCTGCCATCACCATGCTCCGGTGTGTCATGTGTTACATCTAAATAGATACACCCCACAAGACAGTGTGAGAGTTCTTCCTTTACACAATACGTACCCTACTATAAAGCCAAGTCAATGACTTTTTCATTTCAAATACTGAATGTTTAAGCTTGATTTTTTTTTCATTTTGTTATTACGTTTTATAATTATCTGTGGAGGTTCTTCCATTTTGCTTACTACAAGTATGGTTTTCTTTACTTCACGGAGCTTAGTTATCACAGACACTTTAATGTTCTTGTCTAATGGATTCTAACATCTTCATCTGGCCTGTCTTTTCTCTTGGTAAGTGGTCATATTTTCCTGGTTCTTTATATATCAAGTAATTTGGGATTGTATTCCTACATATTATGTTTGTTTTTAATGTTTTTTTATTTTTTTGAGAAAGAGAGAGAGAGCAAGAGAGAGGGAGGGTTGGGATATAGACAAAGGGAGACACAGAATCGGAAGCAGGCTCCAGGCTCCAAGCTGTCAGCACAGAGCCCGACGCAGGGCTTGAACCCATGAACTGTGACATCATGACCTGACCTGAAGTCAGACGTTTAACCAACTGAGCCACCCAGGTGCCCCCTTATATATTATGTTTTACCGAGACTCTCAATTCTCTGTCTAAAGGATGGAGAGGGTGTGTGTGTGTGTGTGTGTGTGTGTGTGTGTGTGTAACCTCTTTCTCCAATGAATGTCGATGTTTTTGTGCTTTGGCAGCGAATTAATTTGGTGAGACTCAAACTGCAAACTGTCTCTTTTGGACACAGGCAACAGCTCAAAGCTCATCTGATTTCTTCTGTCCTTTTTGAGGTGCTTTGCGGCTGGTGGAAGGGTCAGCCAGAGACGTGGTTAGACTCTGCACAAAAACCTGGGGATCTTTTTCTCTACCTCTCTCCTCTTCACAATTCCCTCCCTTTCTTTTGGGTTGCCATGTTTGTCCTAAACTCTAGTTTTTGGTTCCTCAGGCCAGAAGCCTGGTTGGTTTTCCACTAGCACTTCAACCACCGTGTGTCATGTTGTGACTATGGTCCGTTATCTGAGTAAAGCTGAAATACTGGGGCACACAGTATTTTGTTGGACCTTTCTGCCACGTTACGACTCCCTTTTGAAACCTCTATTCAAGCTCCAGATACTTCAGGTACTTTTTATTTTGCCCAGACTTTGTAACTGTTATCTGTTAGACAGCAGATTTGTTAAGATCTTAATCCTCCATACCAAAAGCAACATTCTTGATTAATTTATTTTATAAATTAAAAAAAAATTTTTTTAATGTTTATATCTGAGAAAGAGATGGAGAGAGAGTGCACAAGTAGGGGAGGGGCAGGGAGAGAGAGAGAGACAGAGAATCCGAAGCAGGCTCCAGGCTCTGAGCTGTCAGCACAGAGCCCGATGTGAGGCCCGAACTCCCAAACTGTGAGATCATGACCTGAGCTGAAGTCGGACACTTAATGGGCTGAGCCACCCAGGCGCCGCTTGATTAATTTATTTTAAAAAGCAACACAGAGAGGTTCCTGGGTGGCTTAGTCAGGTGGGTGTGGAACTCTTGATTTCAGCTCAGGTCATGATCTCATGGTTCACGAGTTCAAGTCCCATGTCGAGCTCCATGTTGATGGTGTGGAGCATGCTTTGGATTCTCTCTCTCCTCTCTCTCTGCTCCTTCCCTGTGCATGCACATATGCTAACTTTTTCTCTCTTAAAATAAACTCAAAAAAAGGCAATACTATCTCAGCAACATAAAAAGAAAATAAATATAACTTGTTATGGACTGAACGTAATCATCAAAATCACAATTATTAATTACTAAGTTTTCAAATCTGAAGAAAAATAAATAAGAACTACAAGTAACAATGAATTACATAACTTCTGTAAAAAAATGAAAGTATTTTCAGTCTGTCATTTATAAGAGGGAAAATGAGTTCTAGTAGCTGTTACAAACCAAGATAAGGGCTTACATTGTATATACATACCACATCTTCTTTAGTCATCGTTCAATGGACATTTGGGCTCTTTCCATAATTTGACTATTGTTGATAGTGTTGCTATAAATATTGGGGTACATGTGCCCCTTCGAATCAGCATTTTTCCATCCTTTGGATAAATACCTAGTAGTGCAATTACTGGGTCATAGGATAGTTCTATTTTTAATTCTTTGAGGAACCTCCATACTGTTTTCCAGAGTGGCTGCACCAGTTTGCATTCCCATCAACAGCGCAAAAGTGTTCCCCTTTCTCCACATCCTCGCCAACACCTGTTGTTTCCTGAGTTGTTCAGTTTAGCCACTGTGACCAGTGTGAGGTGGCTTTGATTTACATTTCTCTGATGATGAGTGATGTTAAGCATCTTTTCATGTGTCTGTTGGCCACCTGGATGTCTTCTTTGGAAAAGTATCTATTCATGTCTTCCACCCATTTCTTCACCGGATTATGTGGTTTTGGGTTGTTGAGCTTGATATGTTCTCTATAGATTTTGGATACCAATGCTTTATCCAATATATCCTTTGCAGATATCTTCTCCCATTCTGTCTGTTGCCTTTTAGTTCTACTGATTGTTTCCTTTGCTGTGCAGAAGCTTTTTATCGTCTATGCAATGGAATATTACTCAGTGATCAAAAAGAATAAAATTTTGCCATTTGCAACATGGATGGAACTAAAGTATTATTATGCTAAGCAAATTAATTAAGTCAGAGAAAGACAAATACCATATGATTTCACGCACATGTGGAATTTAAGAAACAAAACAGATGAGCATAGGGGAAGGGAAGGAAAAATAACATAAAAACAGAGAGGAAGGCAAACCATAAAAGACTCTTAAGTACAGATAATAAACTGAGGGTTGCTGGAGGGGAGGTCGGTGGGGGGGGATGGGCTAAATGGGTTATGGGCATTAAGGAGGGCACTTGTTGGGATGAGTGCTGGGTGTTATATGGGAGTGATGAATGGGCTCTACTCCTGAAACCAACACTACACTAACGGGAATTTAAATTAAAAAAAAAAAAAAAGGTAAGGGCTTATAACACCAAAGCTTCAGATTTTTAGTCTTTATGATAACCAAGACAGAGATTCCCAAATAATGTGTGTCCATGGTGGGGGGGAAGCCAAAATATACACCATATATGGCTTTTCTAGTATGGTTAAATACTAAGAATGAATTCCTAGACAAGAAAAGAAACAAAAACATCACTTTTGTTAAACTTTTGCTTCAATAAGTGCTCCTTCCCCAACCAGGAACCTCTAGCACTGGCTCTGAACAGGCAGGCTTCCTTGGTAATGTCCACAAAGTGACAGAAAGGGGCTCTTGACCCTATTCAGTTTGAGCAGTGCAAATTTTTTTATAAAAATCAAAACTTATTTAAGTGTCACTTCATAATGCGGAAAGTATTTTCATTACGTTCTCCCAGCGAGGTCACAACCAGATCATGGACCTGCTCTCCATGACCAAGCCAGAGTGTTGGTCTGGCTGCTATTCCATTCTCTTTGTCTTGCCAATGAATTAATGAGCTTTAACATATGACAATAATTGTGGGGATCACTGTTCCTCTTTTCATAAAGTTAAGGGAACCAAATTTGAGAATCCTCTACTTCAAATAACATGACTAGTAATTTCGAGCTAAGTAACTTTTCCAAATCTTTTTACTCCTTGGTACTAGAGAATCTTGATTTGCACAGACCAGCTCTCTGAACTGCCAGCCCAAAGCACGCACTACGTACCTGTCCTCCTGAACACAACTGATGTCCCCTCTATGGAGTGGCGGCTCCTCAGAAAAATGGCTCAAGAGTCCACTCTATTCAGGACACTGTCTTCCTTTGGTTTTCACTTTCTGGTTACTCTGGAGAAGTGGAAGAGACAATAAATACTCCAACAAACCACTGTTTCCAAATTTTAAAGTTGTTCCCTTCAACATTCCAGGTCTAAATAAAATTCTAAAACTCTCTTCTCTCATGGGAAGAAAAAAATCCCACAAAAGCAAAAACAAAAACCCATTCAACTTCTGCCCCCCTCTGGCAGAAACCATCAAATATTTTACCCCCTTTTAACTCTACGTTGTCTCCTTTCTCTTCCAGGATGGCTCTCAGGCACCTCTAGGCCTTAAATGCCACAGAGGATGGCTTACAAAACTGAAAAAGCTACCCAGTCCCTTAAGGGCAAGGGTCTCCAGGCAGTGATCCCACCCACCTTCAATGGGGTGCCCTCTACTCCCTCTGGCTATGTTCTTTAGAAATAGATGAACCAGTTCTTATTAATGATACATACTTAATCAGACAGGGCTAGAGATTTGCATTTTAGTTATATCTGAAAGACTTTGGGTTATACTACGGTGAGATTCTCTAGGAATTGCTTACTTTCAAGATAAACTGCTCCGTAGTAGGATGACGAGACAATTTAACATCCAATCCTAGAAGTTTGAGGAAGGAAAAGCTACCAAAAATCATTCCGGGGAAAACAGGGGGTAAACCGTAATTGCCTCAGGCAAACTGGGACCTGTGGTTAACTCCACCTATAACTAGTCTTTAATGGCCTGCCAAGACTCCCATTGTCTTACTCTGCTTTCTCTGTCAACTCAGTTCAGGTAACACCCCCTCCGAGAAATCTTTACAGGCTGTTTCTTCTTCATCTTTCCTGGGTTTCTTTAAGCCAAAATCTTATATTTTACCTCAGCCTATAGAAAGAGAGCTAGACTGCTTAGCTTAGAATCATGGCTCCCGTCTTTATAGGAGAAAAGTCTTGGGCAAAGTACTTTACCTTTCTGTGATGGTTTCTTCACTTGTAAAGGAGGTATTAATAATAACAGCATTTAGTAGGGTCTCATGAGGATTAGTTCATACTTGCAAAGCACTCAGGACACCACCTAGCCTATAAGTGCTCAGTGAAGTTATTACTTCCTCTAAAAATGTTCTGTTTTCTTCCAAGGTCAAGTTATCAGATCAGTAAAAACAAATTCTGGTATTTTGAGGAGGAAGATTTTTCACTTCAATGGGGCCCTGGGTGAAAACATTAAGTCACCTTAAGTTACAATTTATGCTTCTAGTACTTGCTGCATTATACAAACTTCTATTTTTTTTTTCCTGGGTAGCTTTCTGGTTTTTATCTTAAATGATATTTTCGGTTTCTGTAGGAGGCCACAACTTTGACACAGAAGTCTTTCCCCAAATCTTGAAGCTAAAGAGGAAAATGTTTTATAAAATAGAATTTCTAGCTCATTGGACATCATCTAAAATATGGATTTGGGGCACACTCTGCATAAAAAGGAATGGTAATATTTTTCATTTATCTTGGTGATAGTTCAAATTATAATTCCAGAGAATTTTTTTAATGTCTATTTTTTTAAGAGAGACACACACACACACACACACACACACACACACACACACACACACACAGTGTGAGCGGGGGAGGGGCAGAGAGCGTGAGAGGGAGACACAGAATCTGAAGCAGGCTCCACACTGTGAGCTCCAGCACAGAGCCTGACTCGGGGCTCGAACTCACAGACCGCGAGATCATGACGTGAGCCGAAGTGGGATGCTTAACCGACGGAGCCACGCAGGGGACCCTAATTTCAGAGAATGTTAAATTTCTGCCTCATGCATCAGCCGGCATTCAAAAGGGTAACCTGCAAACTACAGAGACTTTTCTCAATATTTTTTGAGGGCACGGAAACATCATTAGAGCAAGGATTGATAGGCTTTTCATTTTAAGTTTAATGTTCTTTTAAACTTTTGTATTACTGAGTAGTTAATAAAATTTATGTAAAATGATATAATGAACCCTCATGTAAATACCACTTGATTTATGAAACCAGAACATTAGGAGTACCTGTAAATTCCTTTATATGCCCGTTCCCTATCCCTTCCCTTCCCCTGTCTGTCCCTTCCCTTCCCATCCCTTCCTTCAGAGCTTCTAGTTCAAATTTTGTGTTTATAATATTCAGGCTTTCATTTGTAGTTTAACCATGTTTATCTCCCTAGATGATATATTATTTGATGGTTTTTGTAATTCATACAAATGGAATTACATTATGTGCCATCTTCTGTGATTTGCTTGATCCCCTACAGTACTATGTTCCTAAGATTCATCCATGATATTGCATAGCTGTAATTCACTCATTTTAACTGTTCTATAAAGTTCCATCGAATGACAACACAAAACAATTGATCAATTTTACCGTTGATATATTTAGGTTGACCCCTGCTTCATCTGCCATTAAAAGTGTTAAGAACATCTTACACATAGATCCTAACTAACACTAAGAATTGTTCTAGGATACATACTTAGGACACGCTGAATGTGAGGCACACACAACTTCAAATTTTAGTACTAGATGCCAAATTTTTCCAAAGTGGCTGTGCTAATTTACACTACCAGCGAGTGTGTAAGTGTTCTCCCATTGCTCCACATTCTTGACCACACTTGTAATTGTGGTATTTAAAAATTTTTGCCAACTGGATGCATGACATGGCATCTTTGTGGTCTTAATTCCTGTGTTCCTCATTATCAGTGAGTTTAAGCATCTTTTCAACTGCTTGGGTTTCCTTTTCTATCCAGCATCTGCACAGCGTTTGGCTGTTCCTTCTATTACACTGTCTCTTTTGTAAAGGTTTTTCACCTGGTCTGGATCATTGGTTCTCAACTGGAGAATATGCCCCTTAGGGAACGTTTTGCAAGGTCTGGAGACATTTGTGATGGTCATAGGTAGGCAGCAGAGAGCTACTGGCATCCAGTAGGGAGAGGCCAGAGATGATGCCACAACATCCTACAGTGCATTGCACAGGCCTCAAAACAAAGAGGTATCTGGCCCCAACATGTTAACAGTGCCAAGGTTTGGAAATTTTGTTCTGGATACTAATATGTTATCAGTTACATTGTTACAATTATTTTCTCCCAGTTTGTGGATTTTTTTTTTCATGGTACCTTTTAACGAAGAGAAATTCTTAATCTTTTGTTAACTTTTTTTTAATGTTTATTTATTTTTGAGACAGGGAGAGAGACAGAGCGTGAGTGGGGGAGGAGAAGAGAGAGACAGAGACACAGAATCTGGCTCCAGGCTTTGAGCTGTCAGCACAGAGTCCGACGCCAGGCTTGAACCCACGAACCATGAGATCATGACCTGAGCCGAAACCGGAACCTTAACTGACTGAGCCACCCAGGCGCCCTGAGAAATTCTTAATTTTAGCATTAATTAAAGTTACCAACTTTTCTTTTATGGTTTGTACTTTTGTATCTGATTTAAAGAAGTTCTCCTATCCTCAAAGTATAATCTCCAAATTGATGTTTAAAATTTTTTTAATTTTGCTTTTTTAAAGTCTTTAATCCACCTAAAACTGGTTTCTACTTATGATGTAAGCTAAGAGTCCAAAATTAATTTTTTATATGGATATCTAGTTGTCTGAGTACCATTTATGAAAAGTCCATCTGACGCCCACTGGTCTACAATGCTGGTTTGTCAAAAATCAAGTTTGCAGAAGTACGCTTATTTCTGGTTCTTTATTATCACCTCTCAATCTGGAAGCTAAAGTTATACTCACCTTCTTATAAAAGGAAAATTGAATCCCACAGGTTAAAGGCTTTCATGAATTCTGAAGAAAACAGATTTAAGATGTTTGTTTTATGTTTTTTTCTTTTTTAGTGTTTGTTTTCTAGAGAAACAAAAACAAGGAGATACGAGGTTGTTATTTTGCATACTAAGGCCAAATACCTGGAAAATGTAAATGAACTCATTCACCTTACTGAATGGGTAACAAACTACATTTGCCTACAATACACATTTCAGGAAGGCCAGAAATTCGTTTTTCAAGTAGCCAAAGAGAGCCTTTTCTGAGACACTTTCAGAACACCTATAATTTAACCTTGTAATTCATCTAATTATTTAATCTAGGGGTTATAACAGAAATATCCATACTGTTTCCAAAATAGTGAGAAAGGCCATTTTCCTAACTGCTAAGAAGCTGGCCTGTAAGGACATTTCTGACTAGATTGTTCCTGGAAAGGAATCCACTGCTCAGAGAACAGTCATACCTGTCAATCAGCCTCAGCCTTCAGCTCTCAGTTCCAGTTGCTCCAAAAACAGTGGCAGAAACTATTTACAGAGTGAAACAGAGAAGAAATAGAAGTATGCATTTCCGTCTTTCTCCTTTTTTCTTTTCCTAACACGTTCCCTTCATTCTTTTATTCCACAAGCTCCACACAAGTATTCAATAACACAAAATGGGATCATTTTATTACAATACAAATTCTATTTTGGGTTTGAAGTAAGTCACCAACAGAAATATAAATCCATTGATTCACAGAAAGTAACTTAGCATGGGGGCAAACAGTTTTCAGGTAAAGAAAAAAAATTCAATTTCTCCTTCAGGAAAATAGCCCCAAAACTATTATTCCCCTTTGAAATATGTCAATTACTTGCTATTGCCCCTCATTTTTTTTCCTGAACACTCTCGAAAGGATTATCAACTAATAATGTAATTATTCTGGAGCCCTCACGTATGGGTTTCAAGAAGGAATAAGAAAAGATTTTCTGTGGTGACAGCGCATGTTCCATGATGTCCATTTTTGATATTTGATCGCCATGAAACTTGCCAACTGATGGCCAAGCACTGACGCAGACTCTTCATTAAATACTCTGTTTGGACAGGGTGTCTCTAGCTGACTACCGTGTCCAAGATCAGGTGGTAGTTAAACACAAGGAGGCGAAGAGGATTTGTCAATCTAGAGCCCTCAAACTGGTTATATCGAATTTATTAGATCTGGAGTTCTGTTTACATCCACACAGCAGAAAGATGCTCAATCAAAATTCAGGGGCCTATTATTTACCAAATGGCCTGTATACACTTTTTTTTCCCCCAGAAACACGAGTATAGGAGGTGTCTGGTAGTTTTTCAAGGAAGTGTTCATGAATAAGTTACAGGTTTTCCACCCCATTTACTCCCATTAAACAAGCAATTTCCTAAAATGAATGTGCAAAGACAAACGAGTTGTTTCAGAGACATGGTCAAGACACACAGAAATAGAGCTTTCTGGTAACTTAGAAATTTGCGAAGCTGTAAATAAATCATACTGAGAAATCAACTTGTTTTGCCGTGACTCCAGGGTTGAGGCCATGAGCCTCAGGTGTGGAACTCATGGGGAAAAAAAAAAAAAGGCAAAGGCATAACCATAAAAGTCCTGCAAACATCAGACACACACACACAGTCCGCCTGTTGCACGTGGAAGATTCTGATCACTCTGTCAGTTTACCTGTCAGGGAAAGGGGAACCTCTGTGTCTCCAGGTGAAAAGCAGCAGCAGTCATGGCCCCGGGTCCTGTGAGTAGCCAGGTCTCCGACAGGAACTGCTCCTGTTCTGCACCTGTTTCCTGGTGCCACAAGCTGGGCTCATCGGCAGACTAGAAAGGCCTGCAGGTGAAACATCACAATCACATGGGCAACAACGCCAGGAGCACAGGGGGAAAGGCCACGATCCACACCAAATTCACACCCAAGATACTGCCAGAGGCCCAGATCAGGAAAATGGCATAACCATACCGCTAAAAAAGGGCTCTTCCACACCAGGCCTCTACTGAGATTTGGGACAGCCAAATGGGTGCCAACCAAACGGCGGTCAGTGATAACACGTGAATAATGTGAAACATGGTTAGTAGTTAGGATTTCCACCAAACTGTTGAAAATGCAATTTCAGATTGGGGGAGGCACTGAGTTCTTAATACGCCGTCAGGAGCAGCTGGCTCGGGCTTAACCAAATAGATTGGAATTCTAGTTTGAACTCCAGAAAACCGCAAAGGGGACAACGCGGAAACTCACTCCCCACGCCCAGGTGTGTGCGGGTGCTGGGCAGCAGGGATGAGGGGGTCTGGCCCGTCTGGGTAGTTCTGGCCAGACCACGGCGCTCGGCCTCCGCCTCTCCCTGCAAACGACGGGTAACCCCTCCAGCGCCTGGACTCCCAAGCGACTCTACTGCCAGGTGGGAAACCGCCCAGAGCGCGGGCTCCAGACAGCTTCCCGAGGCCG